AGTACAAGCAGAGAGCATAAGATGCCTGTGTCAGAATCCTAGTCCACAGGCTGGATCTCCTTGCTTGCTTTAGTCTACCTCAGCTGGATGGAAGGCCTCTTCTAAAGAGGATCTTCCAACCCTCCAGATCTGGAAATACTAACCTTAACTTGAGACAGCAAATTAACTCTGAGCAAGTTTTAACACCATTTTACATCACTACACAGAGTGGAAAATTCAACAAGGTAGCACAGTATCTGAACACACTGCACTCCACTAACTAATGAGATTAGAACAGAAAGATTAGAAAGGCAAAGGCACAAAATGAGCTAAATCTCGCTAGAGACAAAGGGTAACAAGACTATGTTCTAAGCAAGAGGAAGACCAATGACAGAGTTAGGCCCGTTGCTCAGCGAAGAGGGAGAAACAGTAACAGGAAACTTGGAAATGGTAGACGTGCTAAACAACAACTTTGTTTTGGTTTTCGTCAAGATGATGAATGGTGACAGGATACCCAACGTAGTGAATGCTAGTGGAAATGGGGTAGGTTTAGAAGTTAAAATTAAAAAACAAACAAACAAGTTAACTTTAAAAAGTTTTAAATTACTTTTAAAAAGTTAGATGTCAAGTCACCAGGGTCTGATGAAATGCATCCTAGAATACCTCAAGGAGCGGATGGAGGAGGTATATGAGCCTTTAGCTATCATCATTAAGTCATAAACGTCAGGAGAGATTCCAGAAGACTGGAAAAGGGCAAATGTAGTGCCCAACTATAAAAAAGGAAAATAACCACCCAGGAAGCTACAGAAACCTGTTGGGGAACATTTTAACTTGCCTGGGCACTCATTAAGTCATTGTATTTCAAACCAATTTCAAAAGCCAGCTTGGACAGGGAAACTACAGAACTTAATTTCATTTACAAGTTTGATTCCTACAACAGAAGTCTAAACAAAGACACTTGCTGGCTGGCATGCTACATTTCACATCCTAATGACAAACAAACAAAGGGTACTAAGTATTCCTATCAGCTTCAGGAGGTAGTCCAGAACAAATAGACTAGCAGTACCTTAAAGACTAACAAAACATGTAGAAAAGCTTCAGAGGGGGTAGCCGAGTTAGTCTGTAACAGGAAAAACTTAAACAAAATAGTCTAGTATCATGAGCGTTCATGGGTACAGCTGAAGAGGAGAGGTGTACCCACAAACGCTCATGATACCATCTACATTTTTTTTAGTTTAAGTTTCTGCAAGACTATTTGTTGTTTACGTTTTAAAGACCAGTCAGTTTAACTTCTGTGCCAGGGAAGATAATGGAGCAAGTAATTAAGGAATTCATCTGCAAACACCTAGAATAAAATAAGGTGATAGGTAACAGCCAGAATTGATTTGTAATGAACAAATCACACCAAATCAGATACCATATCAAAAAAAGCTATCAAACCCTGTGGATAAGGGAAAAATCAGTAGACGTGGTATACCTAGACTTAGTAAGGAACTTGACAGTTTTGCATGACCTCCTTATCCATAAACTAGGGTAATACAACCTAGAAGAGGCTACTATAAGGTGGGTGCGTAACTGACCAGATAACCATTCCCAGAGAGCAGTTATTAATGGTTCACAATCATGCTGGAAGAGCATAACAAGTGGGGTTCCACAGGGGTCTGTTTTAGGACCAGTTTTGTTCAATATCTTCATCAATGATTTACAGTAGTCTCTCTCAACCAGTGGTAAAAGTACCCTTAGGGGTACTCGAGAGAAGTCTAGGGTGTACGTCAACACAATTGAAATTTGGAGAACTGACTTTTTGTTTTAAGTTTTATGGTGCTTTATTATTTTTGTACTTTTTACACCCAAAAATTTTATCGCCCGCCTGGCTACAATTAAGTTGTTTAAACAAACATGCTGCAGTGGTAGAAAAAAAGTTGTGTGTCTGAAAATAGTAGGTACTGGGGGTACTTATTTTTTGTTTTAAAAAGGGGTACTTTATGAAAAAAGTTTGAGAAACACTGATTTAGATGATGGCATAGAGAGTACGCTTATTAAGTTTGGAGATAATACCAAGCGGGGGGAAGGGAGAATTAATGGGTGGAGGGGGTTACAAGTGCTTTGAAGGATAGGGTCAAAACTCAAAATGATCTGGACAAGCTAAAGAAATGGTCTGAGGTAAACAGGATGAAGTTTAATAAGGACAAGTGCAGAGTACTCCACTTCGGAAGGAACAATCTGTTGCACACATACGGAATGAGAAACAACTGTCAAGGAAGGAAGGAGCCCTGCAGAAAGGGATTTAGGAGTCATAGTGGACCACAAGTTAAACATAAGTCTGACTCTGCTGCAAAAAAGCAAACATGATTCTGGGCTGCATTAACAGGAGTATTGTGAGCAAGACACGAGAAGTCATTCTTCCGCTCTGCTCTGCACTGATTAGGCCTCAATAGGGATAGTGTGTCCAGTTCTGGGCACCACATTTCAAGAAAGATGTGGCAAAATTGGAGCAGGCCCAGAGAAGAGCAACAAAAATGATTAAATGTCTAGAAAGCAAGCGGTGAGGGAAAACTGAAAGAATTAGGCGTGTTTAGTTCAGAAAAAGAGAAGATAGAGGGGACAGGATACCAGTTTTCAAGTATCTAAAAGTGTCACAAAGAGGAGGGAGAAAAATTGTTCTCCTTGGCCTCTGAGGATAGGACAAGAAACAATGGGCTTAGATTGCAGCAAAGGAGATTTAGGTTGGACATTAGGAAAAACTTCCCACCTGTCAGGGTGGATAAACACTGGAATAAGTTGCCTAGGGAGGTTGTAAATATCTCCAGAGATAGAGATTAAGAACAGGTTAGACCAGTGGTCCCCAACCTTTTTGTGGCCAATAGCACATTCATGTTTTCAGAAGAGTGTGACAGGCACCAACAAAAGAAGGCATCAAATGTGAAATTGAAGGCTATTTTCATATTAAATGTGAATTGGGTGAATGCCAGACATTTTACGGGGGGAGGAGTGGAAGGAGAGAGAGAGTGTGAGGCCAGGGGTTTGGATTGTGCCTCAGAACAGGGGATTGGGGTGCAGCGTCTGGGAGGAGAGTTCTGTGGGTGAAGATATCGGAGTGGGAGTAGCTGGGAGGGCTGGACACTTACCAGCGAGATGCGCTGCTCTCCTGTTTCTCCCACAGGCCCTGTCTGGCCATGTGCTTGGGGATTGGTAGGTTCCCACAGCTGCCATTGTCCAGGTCCGGCCAATGGGCTTGAACAGGGGGGGCGGAAGTGGCCATGAGGGACCCTCCCCTGCCGGCTTGCAGCTCCTGCACCACAAAGGGCCCCGCCACGGCTGTTTTGCATTGGGAGGGGCAGGCTGTTGCTGCCTCGCAGCCGGACCCGACCAGCGCGGGGTTTGCTCCAGCTACTGAAGCGCCTGTGCAGGCTGCCTGCTGCAGTGGAGGTGGGGCTCGAGCCTCCAAAGCGCCGCGTCGGGCTCCCTTGCGGGCCCCAGGCTGCCGACCCTGCTCTAAGCAGTGGTGAGCGAGAGTAGTTTTAAAATGCTGGCGCAGGCGCACATAAATGCCCCCGCAGGCGCCATGGTGCCTGCGGGCACCGTGTTGGGGACCACGGGGTTACACAGACATCTATCAGGAACGATTAGACCAGGAGCAGGGAACCTTAGGCCCAGGGGCCAGATGCAGCTCCCAGCTTGCTTGACTCTGGCCCCCAAGGCTCAGGAATCCCTGCACATTGGGGAGCCCATGCAGGCACTCTAATGCCCCTGCCACGCACCCTCAGGGCTGGAGCACCCAAAATCTACTAGCCTGGGCCCCCATAGATTCTGGTGTGCGAGGGGAATGTGAGTGCCATTTTCCTTCTCAGTGTCTTTTTCCTCCTTACTTGTGTGTGGCCCCTGACTGATTTTTCTGTGGGCCAGCAGCCCCCGATCCAAAAAAGGTTCCTCGCCCCTGATCTAGACAGTGCTTGCTCCTGCTGTAAGAGCAGGAGACTGGACTCAATGGCTTCTTATTGACAAATTCAGACATGCCCTTTTTAGAGACTGTTGCCAAGCCAGTTTTCCCCTGTCCGTCTGAGTCCAGGACATAAGTACCTGGAGAGAACTTTCAAGAAGTTTACATGTGCATAGGCAGTGGTTCCACATTTTGTTACCTGACATTCTGGGTGGGGTTCCACCTTTCAGATGGCAGTTCTCCACTTTGTGGATCATCTACAGGTGGGTGAAGAATTGAAATACATACATCTCCATTCTGCAAGACAGAGGTGAAAGAGTCAGTAAACATTAGCACCTGTGCAGTTGTACCTCAGTTGTGCCAGAAATCACGTCAAATTCTTCAGCCATTTTACATATTTCAATGGGAGGTTTTTATGCATAAGGACAATAAAGATCAGCGTTTCAGCTAGTGACGGGGAGTGTGATGTAATCAAGCCAGGGAAGTCAATGACACACCCAGTGGATCAAATGTGGTGATGAACATTGGTCATGAGCAGTGCTCCCTCAAATTTTCACATACGTGCAGAATGAATTCTGTTTTGTACACCAACATGAAGGTGGCTTGTGATACAATAAATTAATGTGGTAGAGGTGGGGCCGAGGGGTGTGGAGTATGGAAGGGGGAACTCAAGGCTAGGGCAGGGGGTAGGAGTGACAGCTCTAGGGCTTAGCTGAAGCCAGGGGAAAGAAAGGGACAGTCCTTCAGCTGCAGCAGGTCCTAGCCAGGCAGCTTCTCTGGGCGCCTGCACAAGTGCTTAATAGGTGGTTGAATGGCTGTGCCACTTACAGGGAACTCTGGTCATTTGCCACCTGATGCATGCTGCACATACACTTCAAAGGCAGAAGAGGAATCTAGTTTAGTGTAAAAGTTATATTTAGTGGCAAGCCAACATACTTTAATGGCTACCAACTAGGGTTGTGGAAGTGTAACCATGTGCACGGTTAACCAATGAGCGTGGGCTTGATTAAATGCATTTTAACAACTCTACTACCAACCACTGAGAATCAACATTTCTTTAGGAAAATACAATAGAACGTCAGAGTTATGAACACCATAGTTATGAACTGACCAGTCGACCAAACCCTCATTTGGAATCAGAAATATGCAAGGAGGCAGCAGCAGAGAGGGGAAACCCTACCAAAGACAGTACAGTGCTGTGTTAAACCAACTACTAAAAAGAAAGGGAAATTTTTTTGAAAGAGGTGACAAAGTAAGGAAACGTTCTGTGCTTATTTCAATTAAATTGAGACAGCTACAAGCAGCATTTTTCTTCTGCATACAAAAGTTTCAAAGCTGTACTGGACATAGACTTAAACTTTTGACATAACTAACATTTTAAGTAGGGGTTTGGAATGGGTCCCCTATGAAGAGAGAGTAAAAAGACTGGGACTTCTCATCTTAGGAAAGAGGAGACGGGGGGGGGGGGGGATAGCTATAAAATCATGACTGGCATGGAAAAAAGTGAATAAGGAAAAGTTATTTAGTTGTTCCCATAACAGAAGAACTAGGGGCCACCAAATGAAATTAATAGATAGCAGGTTTTAAAACAAACAAAAGGAAGTTTTTCTTCACAAAGATCAGCCAGCCTGTGGAACTCCTTGCCAAAGGAGATTGTGAAGAAAGAAGTCGATAAATTCATGTAGGTTAGGTCCATCAATGGCTATAACCAGGATGGGTAGGAATGGTGTCCCCCCACGCCCCACGTTTCCCCCCCACGCCAAAGAACCAACTCAAACTCCTGCACCCTCACATCCACAGACATGTGGCTTACTCAGTACCCCAACCCCAACACTCCCCATCCTGGAGCCCTCTCCCAGAGCCAGCATCCCCTTCACCTCCTCCTGCATCCAAATTCCCTTCCAGAGCTTGCACCTCTCACCCCTTCCCACCCCCAAATCTCTCATTCCCAACCCAGAGCCCACACATCCTGTCAACCCAGTGAGGGTACTGCTAGACTGCAGGAGTTTTTCTGGGATTCTAGAGGTATCCCGGAAAAACTGTTCTGTGTCCAGGGATGCGTTTATTCTTCCGCTTTAGTGGAACAGCAAACATGCACTTTCCATGAGGAATAAGGGGACTTCCAAAAGAAGGGGTTTTTCCTGACATTTGGCCTAGCCTAGACAGAATTGAAAAAAGTGGCAGTGTAGCCCTACCCTAAGAGTGTATATGGGCTGGGGATAGCAAGTGATGGAGAGGAAAACAGAGGGCGGGGCTTCAAGGAGGGGGTGGGTTTTTGGGGGAAGGATGGGGCAGTAGATCTTGGCTTGTTCTGACATTTAAAAACCGATCCTGGATGTAAAAAGGTTGGAGACCACTGCCTTAATCAAACCTGGTAGCAGTGGTAGCACCAGTGCTTCTTCCATTGCCAGGTCAAGAAGAGTTGTAAACCAGCCCTTCATTATGGCTTTTTTTTTTGGTATTGGGAAGGGAAGCCCTCTCCAACATGGAGTCTAGGTGGGCCCTGATAACGTCTATTACCTGAGAAGGATCAACTGTGGGTTTCTTCTCATTTATGAGGAGACCCAGTCTGTGAAATGGAACCCTGACAAAGTCCATGTGACGCACAACCTGTTCCCTGGACAACCCTCTGATCAGCCAGTTGTCCAGGTAAGGGAGTACTTGCACCCTATGCCTCCTCAAAAAGGTCTTTACCAAAAGCATGGTAGCCCCTCGGCACCACAGAAAGGCCAAATGGGAGGACTGCAAACAGAAAACGATCCTGGCCTACTGAGAACCTCAGGAATCTCCTGTGAGCTGAGATCAGATATAGAAGCAGGCAGCCTTTAAATCAAGGCTAGGGAAGGGATGAGAGAGGCCAGGGTAACCATCCTGAACCTTGTGTTCTTTAGCAAAACATTCAAGTCCCTTAGGTCGAAGACCTCCTTTAGACTTTAGGATGAAGCAATACCGTGAACAGAACTGTCTCCCCTCGAACACACTGAACAGGTTCAACCCCCCCTTCCCTCCAGTGCACTAGTGAAGACACTTCTTGTCTTAACAGATGCTCATAAGAGGAGTACCTGAAGAGGGATGGGAAAGGGAGGTGGGGATAGCATATCCGCTTTCCACCAGGCCAAGTATCCAATAGTCCAAGGTGACCTGGGACCAGGCAAGATAGAAATGGGACAGCCGGCACCCAAACAGAGACATTATCACAGCCACTGGCATTGTCCTTGGGAGTCATTTCAAAATCGAGGACTTGGGCTGTTGATTAGGAGGTGGGGGTGGACCTCTTGGTTGGAGTGCAACCTCGACCCCCTGCGACTGTTTCTGCCGTTGTTGTCGTTGCAGGCTGCAAAATTCGTGGCACCGAATGCCGCTTGCAGCACTGTGTGGGAGACCACCCTGCCTTCTTCTGACAAGGCCTCAAATTCCTGCCTAGACCCCTGTGGAAGGAGGTCTTTAAACGTATTAATGGCAGACCACGTATTATACATGTATCTGCTCAGCACTGCCTGCTGATTGGTGATGTACAGTGGCAGTACAGTGTAAACCTTTCTGCCTAGCAGATCCAATTTTTGGGGGTCCTTGTCCTTTAGTGTGGGTCCAAGCGGGCCTTGTGTCTCCTGGCTAGCCATCTGGACCACCATTGAACCTGGGGCCGGAAAAGCAAAGCTATGTTCGTGTCCTGCCTGAGGAACAAAGTAGCACCTTTCCAACCCTTTTGGGATAAGAAGGGGTGTCATGATCTCCATCTATGAGGTGGCCTTGGAATGAACCAACTCAACCTCTAAGTCAGATGAACAGTCCAAGGCAGACCACAGCAGTGCCGATGATGGTGCCAGTGAATGGCACAACTGTCTACGCTGGGCGATCACCAAGAGTTTTCCCCTGTGGACTGGTGCCGATGTCACTGGGGGCATCAACTGTGCCAATGGTACCTTGGCTGGCAGACATTCAGCAGGCACATGTGGGTATGGTACAGAGGCACCGCATGCACCAATGTAGTCAGGCTGGGTGATATGGCAGAACTGCAGAGGTAGATGGCCTGGCAGGGATGGATTCCCTCAGAGCTGTTATAGGTGCAGGCACTATTGTCAGTGCTGGTGACAGCATAACTCATGCCACTGTCAGAGGTGCCGCTGTCATTACTGGTGATCGTATTACAGTCTGGGCTGCACTAAATGGCATGGTACCAACAGCTGGGTCTGGTCTAACTCCAGCAAAGGCTCAGGGCACAGTGCCAACCCCAAGAACCAGGCCCACAGATGAGGTGAGCTCAACAAGCTCTCAGGCTGCATCAAGGTCTCAGGGGTTGATGGCTGCCAGACCCCCTTCTACCACAACATCTGGTGCTGGACTCTCGACACATCGAGCTCACCCAGTGCCTAGCTGGCACGGGAGCATCCTGACAAGTACCCTTCCACCTGGCACACTGTGACTGCGTCTGTCAGGGACCACCCCCTCTGCTGTCTCTTGGCACTGGAGACCGGGAACCGTGCCTCAGGGCCAAAGGTTTGGCCAGCACCGTGACTTGTTTTGATGCCGCAGATGGTTCCCGCACCGAGGCTGGTGTGCTCTGCGCCGCTGGTGCCATCTGCTTAAGAGCGGACTCCATTAAGATAAGCCTCAAACTTTAATCCCGTTCCCTCAGTTCTTGGTTTGAAGCTCCTACCAAGTGGCCCTCCCCGAGACACTTTAAACACAAGTTGTGCGGGTCACCGAAGAGCATAGGTTTTGAGCACTTGACATGATTTGACATGCAGCCCAGGCATTCCCTCCCCACTAGGCGAGAGATTAAAGGGGAAATTCCCCTCACAACTATTAACACTATAAAGAGCTTTAACTAACACCATATACAAAAGGCTAAGGGTTAGACTAACAGTGTAGTCAAGCACTCCAGCTACCATCGTAAGTGATAAGAAGGAACTGAGGGGGAGGAGGGCCAGGAGGCATATGATAGACTGGCACCACTCCAAGGGCTCCCTGGCTGGCACAGCAGATACTGCTAATGGAAAAAAGCTCAGGATCCGTGCATAATGTGTGCACACCCCTAACCGGAATGGTCATGAGCAAGCACTAAGAAAAATAAGGTACTACACTTTGGCTTTTTTTGATTTCAGGAAACATATAGAATCTAATAAACTATCTTGTTAGTCTTTAAAGTGCTACATAGTCCTGTATTTTGTTTCATGAAACATATAGTGTTTACTTTTACAGCTTGCATATCTTTGCTCAAAAAAATGACCTCCAAGAAAGAATACTGAGTTTTAGGCTAGTTATAGGAATGTCAGTTTCCCCGCTTTCCTCCCCTA